AAGTTGGTAGCTTCGTGTCCAGCAACGAAAGACTCGCCGAGTCAAATGCCTTGCAGAAGTCTAAGTAACATACCTCCACTGCCCTACCCTGATCTAATCGACGAGTAGTCTCGTCGAGAAACATAATTAGATTAGTTAGACAGGTCAGCTCAGGTCAGGTTGGTCGGTCCGTCGGTTACACAGGACTTGCGGCTGTTGCCGATGCGTCCAGTTCCTTGCACTTGTGAGCTATGATGCGATCCCACTGTGCTTCGACTGCAGGAGAAATTTGTGATTCTTCTCTTCAGGTTTCTGGATGACGGTCAGCTTGAGGTACAAACGAGATGTTGGAATGTTCAATCGGTAATATAAGTAGGCTCCGGTCAATAAAGGGTCATCGCCTGAACCGGTTTCTATTCGAGACCTTCAAGCAAACGCAAGAGATTTACTTCATAAATGGTAGAAAATAAAAGTTATTTATGGAAAAGGAATAGGGTGATAGGAAAACTAACGAGAAATAAGTCTAAACTTTCGATAGGGGCTTCCAGGTTGGCCTACGGTTTACCTTGCACTGATCACTCGAAATCAGGGAATACACTCAGCCAGCAGTCATCCAGTCATCCAGGCTTAACACATTCGTTGCTGTGATAACTGCTCCTGGGAGTTTGTTCCAGCTGTTCACTACGCGGATTTTTAGAAACTGTGCTCGAACTTCCAGCCTAGAACGCTCCTTTGCCAGTTTTAAAGAGTGCCCACGTAATACCACTTTGTCACTGGTAGTGAACAGTGAAGCACCCGTGTCAGTTATGCCTTTTGTGCTCTTAAAGGCTTCGATCAGATCACCCCTGAGGCGTCTCCGCTTTACATAGAATAGGTTCAGCGCAGCCAGACGGGTTGGGTAGTCTTGGCCCCTAAGGTGGGGGAAGCACCTTGTGAACCTACGTTGGACCGCCTCTAGGACCTTTTTGTCATACTCCAGGTATGAAGACCATGCTTGGATGCAGTATTCCAAGTGTGGTCTCACATACACTTTATACAGGGGTAACAACACCTCTGGATCCCGCGAGACGACAGTTCTCAGCAGTTGGTACAAGGCGTAGTTTGTTTTACTTGCCACCAGTAGGCACTGCTTCCCTGCTTTGAAGCTATTTGTGACTTGAATTCCCAGGTCCCTCATTTCGTCACTCCTTTGGAGTTATACTGGGTTACCAGTGTTTAGCCACCGTACCGGGCCTGTGTTTCCAATTTGTACGAGCTGTCTACACTTGGCGAAATTGAGCGGTAACTCCCAGTCTTGCGTCCAGCGTATGAGGGTGTCCAAATACCTCTGCATGGACTGATTTCAGGGGGAGCTTACCAGTTTCAGGTCGTCAGCGAACATGAATGCTGGGTTTTCCAACCTCGCCGGCAAGTCTTTCACATAGACTAGAAATAGGAGAGGGCCTAGAACTGACCCCTGTGGGACTCCACTAGCTATCCTGCCTTCCATTGATTTGGTCCCTTCTATATTAACATGGAAAGATCTTCCCCTCAGAAAGTCTTTTCTCCATGTAATCAGTTGTGGGTGGATTTTGAAGGTCCTAAACTTCAGGAGCAGTAGCCTATGGTTTACAGAGTCAGACGCCTTTTGGAAGTCCAAGTAGCAGACCTCCACCCTCTCCCCCTTATCCAGCCTGTCGGTTATCTCATCGAGAAATGCCAGTAGATTCGTGAGACAGGATATCCTCACGAACCCGTGTTGGTTGGCTGATAGCAGATGGTGGCGCGCGACATGGGCCACCACATTGTCCCTCAGTAGCCTTTCCATTACTTTAAGTGGTACTGAGGTTAGATTCACCGGCCTATAATTTGCAGCCTGGTCTCTATCCCCACCTTTGTGTATGGGGACCAACACTTGCCATCTTCCAGTCTCCCGGCAGCCGCCCCTCTTGGAGGGATCTGTTAAACAGCTTTGCTAGTGGTGCAACAAGCACCTCAGCCAGCGGTTTCAGGATGGCCGAGTGAATACCATCGGGTCCCGCTGCCTTGGTGCTGTTCAGCGCCTGCAGTTGGGCTTTTACCTCATCTTCGATGATGATGACTTCGGCCATTTCGGGTATTTCCCGTTCGAGGGGGCTAGAGGGTTCCCCCCCTATCCGTTTGGTGAACCCTTTCGAAGTAGCGGCGGAAAATATCCGCCTTTTCAGCATTCGATTCCGCGTTAACTCCGTCCTCATGTACGACGTTCCCTACCGCTCCTCTAATTGTGGCCTTGGATTGGACATAATTAAAGTAGGCTTCGGAGTTGAGTTTCACGTTCCTCGCCAGCTTTCTTTCATATGCTACCCTGCATGCCCGCTGGACCGCTATTGCGCGTTTTCGCATTCGGTCGTATTCTAGGAACCGGCGGTGGCTGCCTGAGGCTATCAGTCTTCCCCACGCTCGTTATTTATGAGCCTGAGACTTATGCACTCGCGACTTCCACAGTGACTTGCCGTTTCTCCTAATGTTCCTCAGCGGAGCATGAGTA